AGATATGTGAACAGAGGGGTGGCAGCCTCTGCCATTGGTGCTGTTGCAGCAGAGCTGTTCTTGTTAATGCGTCTCATCCTGACCGTTGGCGGCCTCTCGACAGGTTTCGCATCTTTGACCCACAAGGCAGGGAGATTCCTCCAGGTGATCTATAGCGAGAGAATGTCGGCTTTGAAAACATCTCCTTTCAGGGGAATGTCTGCTTCGAAGATTCGGTTGAAAGAGAGAGCTTCCGTAACGTCTTCACCAACCCGACGTCTCCTTCTGGGCAATCCGTCCACTGCCACAAGATGAAAGTTTACCGCGATCAGCGTATCGAGCTCGTTGAAGAGCCGGGCTTGCCTAAGGAGGTGGGGCTCTCCCTCACCGGAAGGGACCTCACGATGGTTCGTGATAACGTCTTCACCGTCAAAGTGCGAGTGAAGAAGAGGGGCCGTAAGGGTCACCCCTGCTGCCCCCCAAATACTATACCAGCAACCATCGAGCTTGAAGGAACCGTCGAAGAAAGTCTACAAGGCGATAATGTGGACATGTACATGAAGCTGTTCGGAGATGTCGCTCGAGGCTGGGGAGTTCGGGTAGGGTTTCCGCCTCCGGTGGTCATGATGTATGCTTCCTGACTATAATCGTCCGTTTGCATTCAGGTGCCGTCCCCCACAACGGTCCCTGTGAATGAATATGACATCGTAAGTTAAGTTCGTTTCGCATTGTGATGTCCGCATGCCCTCAGGGAGACGCTATGCAAAGTCTGTTCAAGGAAGCTGAGGTCAATGAACACGAGCCGGCGAAAGGATATTCTGCGGGCTCGCCCGCATCACTTCCGAGTGTATGGGGCACTTCGGCCGACATAGACGCTCCTTAGGGTGCGATATAAAACAACGTGTGCAACTCTGATTGCCTGGCAAAATCGAATCATGCTTCGCAGATGCTCTGTGATTGTGTTGTCGCCGTATTCTCGGCTTTTTTATAAGGAATGTCCATGAAACGATGTCGCTCGTGAACCCGAGTGAATACTGACAGCCTTGAGTTGAGGAGGGGCCATCCTGGCTTCGTGGATACATATTTTTTCCATCCTGCATCAATGATTTTCCTCATTCTCATATGGTGTGGGCCACTCGGGCTTGTCCAGAGTGCCGAGTTGAACGTAGGCTACTTAATGAGGTCTTCGCTATCACTATGATTGCTCTCAGGGAGAAGTCTGCTTCGCAGAAGAGATCCCACAGGTTGACTCCAAGCCTGGGCAGTGCCATAAAATGCATTTAAAGCCTGATTACCGTATCAACTTGCTTGACGGCGGGCTTAAGGGTCTCAGCCTCAGCCCTAAGGGTTTGATAATGACTGATGAGAATGTCTTCCATGGAAAAGTTCGAGTAAAAGACAAACGCCTCCGTGGGACGAGGAGCATTCGGGCTACTATCAAGCTGGATGGGAGTATCCGAGAGCTCTCGGAAGGCGATACACAGAAGGTCTACTCGATGATCTTTGGGCATCTCGTTAAGAACTGGAGGCGAAGTAATGGCCACGAGGCGAGGGAGATCGAGGAGCATTCGGACGAGGAAGATGACCCTATTGAGGTGAGTCTATTGTGGTAGAGCAGAGTTCTTGTGGGCGTCCATTCACTTCATTTGTAGGAGACGAAGATATTGCTCACCCAGAGCAATATAGATCGTCTTAACATTGAGGGCGAGGCTGGTCCCAGAGGGTTAACTATTAAAGCCAATAATCAGTTGGAGATCGAGGGCATTGACGACCCCACTGCTTCAATATCCCTCAAGCCAAAAACGTTTGCCAAAACGGGTTCCAACAAATGGACCGGCAAAGTGATGCTGAAGCCTCTGAGGGGCACAGGAAGTATCGTACGCCGCGGTTTGATGACGGTCACGTTGGAGATTCAGGATGATGTCGCAGACACACTGTTCGAACCAAAGGTAAACTCTGGAGCTTTTCGGCACTTGACTGTTCTCAGTAGGTGGACGCCTCCGAGATCCAACTCGATCCCGACGATGCGACCAGGCTGAAGTTGTCGGAGTATGTTGGAACGCCAATTAAGGCGTCGATTCTACACGATGGTCGTCTTGATCCGGTGAATGGACGCCTTTCCACTGACGATGGCACCGAAGTCACGATGTCGATAAAACCACAGACAATAGAAGGGAGAGGACGCCGAGTTCAAGCTAAGGTCGCTGTGAAGAGTGTCAGAAGTAATGGAAGCCGTGAGAAGTCTTTGGGCACGGCCAAGATGACCCTGTCTCTAACTAAGAGAGATTACGAGATGATGAATAGGATCCGAAGCCGGGAAGAGGTACCGGAGAGCTGAAGGTCCCTCAACTCTAGTTTGATATGACCGTTCTCATTATCAGGTGGAGAGAAGCGAGGAAGAGTTCGTTGAATGAATGTGACTAAATGATGCTTTTGTTGTTAACTGACTCCTCCACTGGAACTATGAACATGACTAGGGTGGTGTGAAAAAGCTATTTGCTGTTGTGGTTAAATACATATTTTGTTATAGTTTCGATTCGTCCGGAGGTTCCTACGCCAAAAGTGCATCATACCGATACAGTCTGGGAATACCAACACTGAGCGTCTCCTTTTTTTGTAAGCATATGGCCAGTGACAACCCCAAATGTTTTCCCTTTGAGCCTCTGAGGGGTGTTGCCCACCAGTCGGTAAACCTGCGCTTTGTAAGTAGCGCACGCCCGAAAATACAGCATGTGCGCAGTTTCGAAGGGACGTTTTGCGAGTTGCAGCAATGCGCTTTCTCCTCCATCTTTATTGGGTATTAGGCAGCACTCTCGCCCTGACTCGACGAAAAGTGAACGAAGGGTTCACTATGTCCGGGGGTCAATTGAAGGTTAGACTGCTATGGCGAGTCCACTCTTTACACCCACTTCGTTTAGGTGGATGGTCCCTTGAAAAACGGTAGCCCCCAAGAACTGCATATCGACGATGCTGAACAGATACATTCCGATTGCTCCTTATCGTACTTTGAAGGTGCGTCATATAAGACCATATGGTTCAGTGTGACAGACGGGAAGGTTCATCCAGTTGCCTGGAGGTGCCCAGCCAATCACTTGACTGGGTAAGTCATGTTCTAACTCTCGGTAACGCATACCCCTACTGTTAGGGACATCAAGGAGGTCGAGAGACTGCCGGTACCTCCTGGAGTGTACCAAAGTGTATTAGATAAATGCATAGCTGGTGTGAGGCAGTATTCAAATATTTTCGGCAACCCCAAGCCCTTCCTGAAGGAACAGTATATGGTGAAGGCAATCTGCAAGCATCGATAAGAAGATCTAATGATCATCATGCTGTGCTGAATATTGTTCACCTCTCAGTATTGTCCGAAACATACAAGTTCTGAGTTACAGATAAGCAGTCAGGATATAGTCAATACTTACTTAGTCAGTCTCGTCTGTTCCGCGCGATGTCATTTCCCGATTGTGACGGCGAGACTGTTCGCTTCCACTAGTGGAACCCCGTCGCTACGCTCCGGGAGTCGCTACGCTCCAAGGACAGATAGCAATGTATGAGACTGGATAAAGTACTAATATACTTGGTAATAATATAGCGCAGATTTTGAACGATGACAGAAGTAAGATGTACGATGTTCCGATAACTGAACGCAATAGAGACAGGCATGACGCTCCAACGTTTCGCCACAACGTGAACAACCTTGGCATGCTGTTGTGCAGTTCTGAGGC